ATTAACAATACATCTTGATCAATTTTGGACTAAAGAAGGTGGCAGAATTCTTCAATTTCTTCATCACTAGCTTTAGTGATTGAAACATAAATTTTTGATCATTAGTGGTATTAATTTGTTTTCCTTGTAGGTATACGGATATCATCCTATCTCAGACAGTACTGCAATTCAAGGCAGATTTTGAAATGCTCTTTGTGAGCATGAATGTAATGTCATTCCTTTTCAATTTGACATTCCCAGCACAGTAAACCACACGCTTGTCAGATTCAAAATGGCCAATACAAGTTCATTTGAGCTAATACCTAGGATTTCGATCTTTATGTGTTCCATTTCATATTTTGACAACTTACAATTTTCCTAGATTCGTAAATGGTACATTCCATGTTCAAATTATTAATAATGAATGCTGCAGCTATTTCTTCCCATTTTGAGTTGTGCCACAATAAATGAAGTCGTGGAAACTTTGCTCCATTCACATCATTACAGTCAACTCTACTTTGAATTTTGATGCCTTGCAACCTTAGAGGCTCATCTTCTGACACTGTGTCTGACAATGTTCCACTGCTATTCATGAGGTTTTCAGCGGCTAACCATTCAGAAGAGGTCTGCCTCTCCTTCTTCCTGGTCTGTCTTAGTCTAGAAGTTCTACTGAAACCTGCCCACTACGAGTGTCCCCGCTGGTTTTTATAGTATCAGTGGCATTGCTTCCACCATCATACAAGCCACCACAGTACAAAAAACTTACAGATGAGTGATGGGAAACTTAACTTGTATGATCATGTTCCTGACGTTAATCAAAGTGGTAAACATCTGTTAGCTCATTCAATCCTCACAATTCTATAAGCTTATATGGTTTAAAGGTTAAATTACTTGTCCAGGTATTGTTAAGCCATAACTGTTGATTCTAGAACCTACTGCCTTAATACATAGGACTGGTCCTGGTCCTGGACTGATTTTCATAAGAAGTATTCTACAAGGAAATAGAAGATTATAATATCAATCCATGCTCCTTAAAATCTTAAGTTAGAGAACTCAAATCTATGACATAAGCTCTATTGGCAGACACATTTCATCTTAATACCAGGGACCAAGGGCATACGGAGGTTTGAACTTCTCTTGCAACTCAAGTACTGGCTGAGTGTACACACAGAACTAAGAATACCAGTAACCTTGGAATCCACCTGTGGAACTCCTCATGGTGATGGCAAGGTTAGGGACCAGCAAGAGCAGCACTGAATCCTAAACAGTCAGTCAGTGAGAAGAAGAAACAGTAGAGGATGATCAGACTTTCTAGTTCTCTCTCTGCCTGTTCACTAGAAGCAGGAATGGTTTCTATCTGTTGGAACCTCAGCTTCAAAGTACTGAACAGGCTGGGGATAGGGAGGCCTCAAAAGGGTAGTAATACACCTTCTGCAAATGGGGCATGTGGAGCCTTGGGGGATTCTAAGGAAACTTAGGATGCAACCACACTGGTATCTCAAGCTGGAGAACAAGGTCCTACCACTCACTACACCTTTGCATGTTGTACGTCAACATCAACATTAGGAGAGAGCACATTAAGAGTTCAAAGTATACACTGGAAGGAACCCCACCATTCATGAAGCCTTGTGCAGGTCCAAACAAGCAGCCTTGTTCACTGGATCCCAAACCATGTAGTCTTGTTCACTGGTTCCCAAATGCAGGTCCTAAGCACCAATCCCCAAACCTCCTAATACAAATCTTCAGGTTCCTCTAGGGAACCTGCTATTGTTTTGTGATTCTGATAGGCAGCTAGCCACGGGACCTATTTTAAAGAAAATAAAACCTTTTCTAAAGCCCCTCAAGTTAGGGCAGAATAGAGATCAAAATTCCTATCTATAGTTAAGTAGGCCAGGATTGCTCCATGATCATGCAAAGTCAGAGAAGGCCAAGTCAGAGTGAACAGTACTACAAATAAGCTCCTTCTTACTTTATACAGGCAGCACAGAAAGGGCTCCGAGCACAAATAATGTTCCTGTATTTATATGCTTCTCACTTCAGTGTGAAAAAAAAAAATCCAAGAAGGTAAATGCTGTCTTCTTTACCTAATGAATGGCACAAAACACTATGTATGTGTTTATTAAATGCTTATTACAAAAGCACAAATGCATTAAGCCAGATTTTAGGGTTAATGCATTTTAAAGGGTAGAAAACTTAAAATACAAAATTTAGAAAAAATTCTGCTTTCACTGTTTAGGCAGTTATAATCAAATAGAAACTTATAAGCTGAAAACTTAAAATACAAATAAAGAACCAGGGAAAGAAAGAAAAACAAACTCAATTGTTAGCAATAAATAGGTCAAACCATTTAAGAATCATACTTTTAGCATTATGCAAATATCTAGGCAGGCTCATACACAAAACCACCATTCAATTGATAACCCTTTATTATTCAACTTAAGCAAGAGTCCAAAATCACTCAGTGCAGATAGGTAAAAACTAGACTAAGATAGCAAAAAGTGAGGTTTCATTTAACAAAGGCCCACACACTATGTAGGGTAACCTGGAAATTAAAGTCCATTCAATATCCTGACAAAGAAAGCAGTTGCCATTGATGAATAACCTCACTGAGGAATTTGAGTAGCAACACAGAGAATGAACAATACCCACTCCACCATCTGATCTGCCCGCTCATTTATAAAAATTCATCATTAGCACTTCAATGAAAAAGTATAATATTATATCTTTCTCTTATTAAGCAATAAAAATTACAAAATCAGCTGAGATTTTAAATTTAGGGTAAGCTAGTTCACTTTCCTGCTTTTAATGAGTAGATATTTTAGATTTGACAGTTCTCCACATATGGTCACACAGGCTTATAAAAGAATTTCAAATACTAAATAAAGCAGCTATTAATGCATGCATTTTATGACACTGTTTAATTCTTCAAATGTTCACACTTCAGAGCTGCTAATGACACTAAATTCAATGCCACGGTGGTTGAGTCTGTCAATCAACTTCGTTCTGTAAAAAGCTGCTCCAGGTGTGAAGACCCCGCCCCTGTAAAATAACAACAAGGTAAAATAGCACACAGACCAGTCTCTCACAGACCTTTCTTCTGCTAGTGTGAGTAGGTATCGAATCATTTCAGAATGCATTAAAACTTGACTCTTGATCCTATCATGGATTGTTTTGGATTCAATTCCTAAAATCAGCTAAATGAATAAGCAACTATTGTTCAGGAGGAAGCCAGCACCCTAGACAAGTCCATCTAGATTGGTTCAGTTCCTAGTGAGACTGTTTCCCATCATTAGGTGTGTCAGAGGGACATAAAGCATTGTTGTTAAGTACTGTTTGTGTCAGTTCCAACTCATAGAGACCCTGTATAGAGTTTCTGAGGAGCGGCTGGTGAGTTTGAACTGCCAACCTTGAGTGCTTATTCTATTGTATCCAAATAACAGCTGCTGTTTGGTGTGGCACTATAGAATAAGCAATGGAGTGCTAGCCACAAGATCGGCAATTCAACCTTCCAGTCACTCCTTGGAAACCCTGTATAGGGTTTGTTGTGAGTCAGAACCAAAATAAATTCAGGTAATCAACTATTATCAAAACATAAACAGGACTTAAACTGGATGTCAAAAGAAGACATTTTAAATGTAATAGCTAACATTTGTAAAATGCCAAATATTTTCAAAGTACAAAGTATTTGAACATTTTAAATTAGGTTTGACTATATATTTTAATTTTTATCACTTGGTATTGCTTTTTTGTTGTTGTTAAGTACCATCTAGTCGGTTCCAACCCTGTATAGGATGTTTCCAAGGAGCGGCTGGTGAGCTTGAACTGCCGACCTTGCAGTTCAACCGGCTTTGCAGTCTGGCACATTAAGCCACAGTGCCACACCAGGACTCCTGATAATGCTTTAGGCTATGTTTAATTTATTTCTAATCCTGGAGGTTTATGCTCATGTGTAAGGCTGACTTAGTTTTAGAGTAACAGCTTAAATGCATTAAGACAGTCCATTAGGAGCAGGGGTGGGGCCTTATGCAAAATCATTTGGTCTGGCCCTACCATGGCAACTGCAGTTCCAGCCATCACATTGTTGTTATTAAGTGCTGTTGAATCAGTTCTGACCCATAGCGACACTGTATTCGGTTTCCAAAGAGCGGCTGGTGAACGTGTATCGCCAACCTTGCAGTTCAAACCAACTTTTCAGTCCAGGGCATTAATCTGCACCACCATACCAGGAATCCAGCCATCACATTATGGGTGAGTGTTTGACCAAATAGAGCAGGCTAATTTTTAAATTAGCAATTTTATGTGGCTCACAAATGATGTTATAAATTTTGGCAGAAAAAAGGTTCCCAGCCCCTGCATTGATAAACATCTAGCCAGGATTTTGTGACTCAATTCATTCTTGGAAGACAGGGCCCCGATGGCTAGCTGATTACCTATCATTCAGCACTGATTAGAGACTCCTATTAATCTCAGCTGAACACTCTTTAACAACAGGAACCTACTTTGAATGACTGACTCTGGACGTGAGCTATTTATATAAGCAATAGGAGCCAGCTTACATGGCTTTCAAACTTTTTTATCTCTTCTTATTTATTCTGCAGTTTTTTCCAGAAGTTGGTAAGGAATGGTCCAACTCAGAGGAATAATAAATGTACAGACCCAAAGTGTGAAAATCAAATTTTAAAACACTAAAACGGAACACAAATTGAGAAAAGGATCTTCGAATTAGAGTAGAAAAAAACTTACACCTTAGGAAGATCAGAGGCATCATTGAGAAGAGTCAAGGCTGCCTGAACCATGGCTATGGGAGTAGCAACATAGCCGGCCTCTGGAGAAAATGGGTTGGAGAAAAAGGAAATATTAATGAGTAATACATTCAATAACAATCACAAGTAGATTTTATAGCTCACTCTAGAATACGGAATATAGATATTTTCAATATGTGAGGGGACTTCAAAAAGTTTGTGGAAAAATTCTGTTTTCATTTCATTTTCCATGAATTTTTTTGAAGTCTGCTTATATACTCTAATCTCTTGAAAAATAGTAACACCACTTATGTAGCAATTACAAAGCACTCAAAATGTAGTAAGAGCTTTAAATCTATTCGGGAAAAAAAAAGGTGCCATTGAATTGACTCATGGTGTGTCAGAGTATAACTGTGTTCAATATGGTTTTATCAATGGTTGATTTTCCCAAAGTAGATTGATAGGCATTTCTGCCAAGGCACCTCTGGGTGAACCTGAACATACAACCTTGCAGTTAGCAAGAGAGTTCCACCCAAAGATTCCAGAGTCTATGCTCTTACCCACTACATTGGACCACTTCTTGGCAATAATAAAAATGAACAATTCAATGGCACCTTTATCTTTTCCACTAATACACTATACTGACCCCTACCTGCATTCACATACTTCACTTAAAAAACAATTCATTTCATAAAACAATGGACTGAAACAGACATCCATAAGGAGTCCTTGGATGGTGCAAATGGTTAAGCATCCTACTACTAGTTGAAAGGCTGGCAGTTTGAACTCACTCAGAGGCACCTCAAAGGCCTAGTGATCTGATTCCAAAAGTGTATGGCTTTAAAGACCCTATGAAATAGTCCTACTCTGCAAATATAGGATTCACCATGAGTCAGAATCAATTTAACTTGACAGCAACTAACAACAACAACATAATGAAATGAGAATATTAGTATTTACATTTCTGCCAAAGAATAAACACAAAGTCAACTTATCTTAAAAAGTCATTTGGGAATTTGAAAAGAAGTTAAGCTGCAGAGATACCATTGCCATCTGACTAGAATAAAACTGCAAAACAGACCCCTATGGTATCTCAGGGATGTTGGGAACTAAATTGAATTATAATTCACACGTAAGGACTGTCTCTAAATAGTTCCCTAAAGCTTCACAGCAAATAGTCCTAAAAATTTTTGAGCTATAAATCCTTTTAGCATTCTCTCAAGAAAAATTCAGATGTGCACATAGATTTTAATAAGAATTTCAGGAGTCCTAGTGTGGTGTTAATGCGTTGGATTGCAAAGTCGGTTTGAACTGCAAGGTCAGTGATTCAAGCTCACCAACCGTTCCTTGGAACAGGATTGCTATGAGGCAGATCCTACTTGACGGCACTTAACAACAACAACATTGATTCCAAGGGAGCACTGCAGCACTGCGAGTTAGGCTGCTAACTGCAAGATTGGTGGTTCAAACTCACCAGCTACTCCAAGTGAGAAAGTTGAGGTTGCCTGTTCTTGTAAAGATTTATAGTCTTGGAAATGCTATATAGGGTCACCATGAATCAGAATTGGTTCAATGGCAGTAGGTCTGGTTTGGTTCAGAGTTAAAAGAAGCTTTGGTCAAGATTTAACTTCTGTTATAATAATGCTATTTTAAAGTGACTCCTGACTATGAGAATAAAACAAGTAAACATCAACCAGCCCCTTTTCTAATTAGAATATGATAAATGATATCTGCCATTTGAATTATTAGTCACACCTGAAAAGAAAACCAGAGGTAGGGATTCACTAATTCAACTATAGTGATAATTTCACTCTTCCCTTTTACTTAAATAATTTACGCAAATATATTTCTAAAACAATTATGGCTTTAAAATAACATTGTAATAGCATAGAGGTCTGTAACTTAAGACAATGTAAAACACCAAAGCAATCTGAATTCAGAGCCCAAATACCTGGTCCTTTCACTTGAGTACAAATTCTGATATTTGGTTTGCTCTTATCAGTAGCAAGGCCTTGGCTATATCCTTGACCAAAGAATGTCATTGTAAATGATGAGGCATCAATCTGAAAGAGAAAGTCAAGGACTTAATATATCATTTCTTCTCTAAACATAAAAAAAAACCTGTTATTTTGTACTTCATATGAGGCATTTTCAACAGATTAAGACAATAATACCAGTCAGAGCATTGTATCATCCTTTAATCATAAGGCAAAAACAAACTCTTTGAAGACATGTTTTAATAACTAGTGTGATGTTGGGAAGACAGGAATAGGTAAGAGTAGGAATGAGATAGAGATGATTCTTACATCACAGCTTTGAAGCATCATTAAAGCACGCAATTTACAGGAAAAGCTAGAGGTAGTTTTAATTTCTGGGCACTGGGGCCAGGTGGAATATAGTAATCGGGTTTTAACATTTTGTTTGCAGTGACAAGACAAAAGTAGCCAGCAAGTAATGGGAATATGGACTAGGACACAGATATTTAATCATTCCACTTACAGATGTAAAAATCTGATTCAAAAAGTACATCTTAGACGACGTATTGTAGCATCTTTCACAATCACTAATCTTAGAAACAAAAAATTCAATTGTGGTCAACCAATTTTTATTAAATATGCATGAAGGAGCTCTGGTAGCGTAGTGGTTACGAATCGGGCTGCGGGCCGCAAGGTCAGCAGTTCGAAACTACCAGCTGTTCTGCAGGAGAAAGAGAAGGCTTTCTGCTCCCGTAAAGATTTACAGCCTCGGAAACCCTGTACAGGGTCGCTATGAGTCGGAACCGACTCCACGGCACATAACAACACAGTGTCACATATGAGTCATTGGTAGTTCTGTGGCAGAATTTTCACATTCCACAAAGGAGAACTGGGCTTGATTTCTGGTCCATGCACCTCAAGCGCATTGTCAGTGGAGACTCTCAGGTTGTTACGATGCTGAACAGGCTTCAGCAGAGCTTCCAGTCTAAGATAGACTAGACATGATGCCCTGGTGATTTACTTCTGAAAATCAACCAATAAAAATTCTATGGATTACAACAGTTCAACCCACACTGAACCTAAGAATGGTGCAGGACTGGGCTGCGTTTCATCTGGTTCTGCAATATAATCACCATGAGTTTGGGTCTGGCTCAGTAGCAATTAATAGCAAGTGCCAGATAGAATGCTGAGACACAACTAATATGATCATTGTAAAGAAGCTTATAGTTTAGTGTGGAAGAGAAACATAAAAACAAGTCTAATAACAATATGATACAGGAACTAAAAGATAAAAGCAATAGTTCAGAGGGCATTATTAAATCAACTGAGGAGCAGAGTTTTGAAATGTGTATCTACATACACATTTTAATAGAAGCTCATTACACAGTAAAGTAGGGTAGATACCAGAAAACAGAACCCACTAGTTAAAGGGAAGGGATGCAGGAGTATAATACATCACAGTTCACTGCTGTTAAATTTCCACAAGTATGGACAAGGTCAGACACGCATGTAGTACTCCTCCCCTTCCCTGCCTGTGGCATCCATTACTAATGCTAACTGATTATAACCCACTTTCAGGTTAGACTTTATGATTATTTGCAGCATAGTCACCAGGCTACTACTACCAACTAACCTGAGTTGGCATGAAAAATAAAACTTATCTGCCATTGAGGACATCATGAGGCATCATCACATGGAGATGGACTACAGGTCAGTGCTGTGTATCAAAAAATCATCCAACATTCTTGGGGCATAGGATACATGCTAGTATTTACCAAACTTGATGTGGAACCATCCTGCCAACATCAGTGATCCTCAATCAGAGTAGCATATTAGAATCACTGGGGAGCTTTTAAAAACTCCAATGCCTAGGCCATACTCCAGACCAAATTAAAACCAGAGTCTCTGGTCATCAGTTTTGGATTCTCTCCCAAAGTTGAGGACCAATGCTCTATATTTTCAAATCATACTTCAGATCTATAGAATCAGAATGTTCAGAAGCAGAATTAGGGGATGTATTATTTTAAGTTTTTACTGTGAATTGAGTGATAGTTTACATGGGAGAACATTAGCTTTACATTCATCATTTCATTTCAGTGATAACAATCTCCTCCGTGCATCATCATTCAACAGTATTTGTTTCTATTTCCTGTTTTTTTGGGGGGGATGTACACCAAAACAGTCAGGAATATAAATTATTTAAACAACCAAAGGGCACAGTCTGCAAGCCTGCCTCCTGACTGCCAGCACACAGCCTTTCTCTTTCCATAAGTCTAGAATCCTCAGCTGTTCCCATTCTCCATGTCCCCATCTCTGCCTCCATCTCTGGTATCGCTGCTTCTCTGGATCGAGTCCCACATTCTGCTAGAAGGCATCAGCTCTTATGGGGTGCCTACTCTGTGCCAGTGCAGTCCAGAGTGGAGCAAAGTGAACCTACATTTTTTTTTATTCTAGGCATAATCTTTATTTATGTATATAAAATAATTTGATAGATTTGGTACATAATTTTTTAGTTTTTTCGTTATGAAAAAATAAGAAACAACAATGATGGAGAAGCTTATAAAATTCTTAGTCCCTTTTGTGTAAGTTGCAACTGACACCTGGGATCACCTCTTGAAATTCTTTTATGTGTATTGTGAATAATGTTTTACTTTACATGGGAGAACATTAGCTTTACATTCATCTTATCGTATATCATTTCATTGCCATGGCTACAATTCCCTCCATGCATCATCAAACAACCAAAGGGTATATCCGGCAAGCCTGCCCCCCGGGTAGCAGAACATAACCCCTCTCCCTCTCTGGGTCTAGAGTCCCCAGTTTCTTCATTTCTCCATGTCATGTCTCTACTGCCATCACTGGCATCAGTGCTTCTCTGCATAGGGCCCCGCACTCCACTCTTCTCCCTTGATGGTCCCAGGGACCTGCGCTCCTGGACTGCCAAGTCAATCGCTCCCCTCCTTTTGTTACACAACGTCTACCTTTACATTTCCAACCCTCACATTCAGTCCTGACAGCAATTATTCACTATTGTATCACAAGAGACCTATCCCCATCTCCTTTCATCAGCCCCGCCCAGACAGATTGGATGCTACTCAGTGGAGATTCTACCTTCCTCCACACCCTCTGATCTAGGATCCCTCTTGAAAGCTTTTTGCCTTTGTAGCCCCCCATTTTGGGTAGCCAATGTCCAAGTTGCCCATCCCTGTCTACCCTATGTAGCAAGGGGGTGGGAATGATCCTCGCTGTAAAGATTTGTTCCCTCTTTTGACCAACTGCATCCATAGGTGTAGGTCAAGTTCATCACATTGTGTCAGATTACTTTTTTCCCCCTCTTCTTTCTTCTTCTAGTTGAGTTCTGTTCATCCAGTCATTAAAGCCAGGTCAAGTGGGTATTATCTGAAAGTGTGGGTGTTCTTATGCATATGCC